GGAAGACACTAAAAACATACATTTAAAATGTCAACAAGAGCAGAGATTGGATGAAAGCCAGGCGCTGTTTTCTACTCTGTTCTGCTCAGAATCCGGTCAGTCATGGCCCCCCTCTGCCCTACTCTGAGGTGGTATGTTAGCCCTCTCCCTGATACCCCTCTTGCACAGCCATCTCTCTCACCCACTTCTCCCAGTGCCCCTTTCTTTCCAGTCATCTCACCCCTCCGCTCTACAATAAGCTGCTTTCCACCCGAAATGGCAGCCGTGTCTCTGTGTCAGGCTTCCGTCCTCTCGTTCTGCCTGCTTGGGTGCCTTCTACCCAATGTGCATCTACAGCGCAAAGACAAGCCAAGCCTTCCTCTGCAGTCATACAGCACCAAGCACAACAGGGACCCTCGTGTTACCCTGCCTGCAGGTGCTACTGAAACAAAGACCACAAGAGCCACAGCAGTAAAGATTCTCCTTACAGGGGATCTAACAGGGATGTTTCCATAGCAAAAATGTGAAAGGGGGATCTAACCATACTGATGGTTAGATCAAGAAGGCTGGGGAGGGGCTTTATACAAGGGCATGTAGTGATAGGACAGGGGGTAATGGCTTCAAACTGGAAGAGGGGAGATTTAGATTAGATATTAGGAAGAAATTTTTCACTCTGGGGGTGGTGAGGCACTGGAACAGGTTGCTCAGGGAAGTTGTGGAGGTCCCATCCCTGGAGGTGTTCAAGGCCAGAATGGATGGGGCTTTGAGCAACCTGGGCTGGTGGAAGGTCTCCCTGCCCATGGCAGGCAGGCTGGGACTGGGTGGGCTTTCAGGGTCCTTCCAACCTAAACCATTCTATGCTTCTATGATCCTCCTAACTGGAAGATCTAACCGTACTGACTGGGCTTGGCAGGAGGAAGCCTTCTCTACAACTGTCTTCTCTTGTAAAGTCTCCCATTGTTCTTCAACAGTGTCTGACACCAGGATCATGCCAATGGGAGAAGGAAGTGTGAAAGTCGTAGCAGGTCCAGGTAGGAAAATATCAAACTGTGAAAAACCACTAGGACAATGCCTCAATTAGAGGGCTTTATTGTGCTTTATTGTACTGACGAAGTGCTTTCAGGGAACACAGTTCACAGGAATGTCTTTCACTTTGCTGTGTACTTCCATTTCCATACTTGCGGTTGAGATATGAGGGCAAACCTGTGACCCTGAAATGCCAAATACCTGACGGACAATGCACAGGATTGATATTTGGCAGGGAAAGCTTTTCTGCTGCTGCTTTCACAGGTTCTAAGTGCCTTTGCAGAAAGGAAGAATTGAGGCTTACTGATAACGAATAATGAGCGTGCCATTTTGCTGCTTGGGAAGAGATGGTCTTGGCAGTGACTACGCACCAGTAGAACCAGTGAGGTGTTTGTCTGCCCACCAGTTTCCAGACACCTTGTAGACACGTCTGAATAGTAACAGAGGAGTTTTTTTCTGGCAAAAATATAAATTGTTCAGAAGTAAGACAAGGGTATAGTAAGGGGACGCTAAGGATCCTGGCCAGCAAAAGGACACATGAGAACAACCATTAGATGTTTGCGCTGTTCACCAGAAGCACTCACTGTTCTGGATGGCTCTTTTGCTTGAATCCACTTGAACAAAAGAGAGAACAAAAGCTACAGAAAATGCTTCACTGCAACCCAAATTCCAAATATTTGCATTCAAGCAATTCCAGCCCGATGGCTCTAACGCACCTGCACCCTCCCCATCTTCTCTGTGATTTAATAGCCTCAAACCTGCTGCTGCTGTATAATCACATCACACTAAAAAATTTTAAGAGCCATGACAGTTTATATCCATTGAGAATGGCATTTAAATCCAAATTATAATACTTCATCTTTCTACAATACCTGCCAGTAAAAGTCATATTACCATGTCCTGAAGTGTCCCAAAACCCAAAAGTGCAACCATACTTGGAATATGTTTTTTCTTTTCTAATGTGAGTCTAATTTAGGACCTTATGTAGCCTGAAAATAAATGCTGGAAGAGCACAAACCTTGTTCTGCCAAAGTGCTCGCCAACTGCACTTGTTTGTAAATTAACACTACAAGGCTACAGCCCTTGTGAAGCACAGAGAGTGCTTCAAACTCTCCTTCCAGTACTTCAGGTGGATGATAATGCAGGTTAGCTGCCCTACTGTAGCATAACCTGTCAACTGAGATGTCAAGATCCAGACAGCCGTTTGTCATTGCAGGAGCAACCATGGAGACAGATGACAGCCTCAAGCCTCCCTTGGCAACCGAGGGGCAGTCGAAAGCGCACCTGCCATCGACAGTGTGGAAGCAGCCCAAGGACACCAAGGACTGGGGTGATGAATACATTTCCAAAGAGCAGCCGGAGAGAGGGAAAGACATGGGCCAAAGCAGATACAGCTCAGCAGACAACATTATATGCGAACCCTCTTTGGCTGGTAAGGATATGGTTTAGTGGTGGTTTTGGCAGAGTCAGGCTGATGGTTGGACTTGATGATCTTAAAAGTCCCTTCCAACCTAAGACGATTCTGTGATTCTACGGACAGAGTGGGAAACTCTGGTTAGAGAGGCTCTAAGCTGCATTCACATCTGGTGAGAGCTGGTCGGTAATCAGTTTCTACAGAGGGAGACACACAACCCAGGTTCTCCCGCTAGGGGGGAATGTCTCAGGGCCTCAGTATCCAAAGCCTTCCGGCCTTTGCGTTTGCTGGTCTGTGCCACTGACAGAATCGCTCTGCACCCAGGACATACATTCTCCTTTCCAAGACCTCGCAGGTTCAGGGTACTGATGGGATTGTGGCAGGGTAGTTGCTTAAGCAGGTGAAAAATACTTCTCATTCTGCAGGAAACTGGATGCAAATCCCTGCTATGAGTTGTTTCACCTTTGATTGCTTGTTTTATTATTCTTAGAAAAAAATGGTATTCATAGGGGAAAACACATTTGCTTTGGAGCTTTCTTAGCGAACCATGGCTCCAGTCATGTCTGGGGTGTGCTGTAACATCAGGCTAGAATTTTATATTTTGGGGAAAGTAGACACACAAAGACAAGATATCGGTGTCACTTTTCGACAGTTTCTCTTTTCGTGATTTAATGTCAGATCACCGGTCTAACATGAGGCTGTCCTTGAGGTCAGCATTTCCTTATTTTTAAACTTAACCATTACCTTCTGGAAGCCAAAAGGCAGAACATCGCTTTGGAGCTGCTGGAGTCCGAAAGGAAATATGTCATCAACCTTTCCCTAATCCTGAAGATCAAGGCGACGTTGCAAGGGCCAGATGTGAAAAGAAGCACCAAAGAGAGAAGGTATTTCCATTTAGTGTGCTCTCTCTTTTGGGGAGTGTTCTCCAGTCAAATATTCTTTCTGCATCATTCTCTCTCCCACTTTTCTTTCATCCACACAGAGATCTTTGAACACTTGGAGCTTATTTCTAGTTGAAAACTGGGGGCACTGGAAGGTTTTAGCAGTGGTTAAAGACTTTCCTGCCTGTCCTTGCGCCTTATCCACCCCACATCCCAAACTGTTTCCCCACTACTTCACTTCAGTCTCTTCCCGAGTCCCATCAGTCTCCTATTCTTCTTTCACATGCCTCCCGCCTGGGTGGGAACAAAGCTTTGTGCATTCCCTGCCTGCTTCTCTCAGTACACAGCTCCAGCTCTAGAAGCTGCCGTGGGTATAAGCCCCTGGCTAGTGGCCGCCATCCATCAGGTATCGATATATACGGATATACACACAGATACAAAACCAGTGGGACCGACCCAGTGCAGCAGTTAAACCTGTCTCTTTGCAAAGGCCATCCCCGGGGGCAGTTTTCTTAGATCCCAGGATGGGATAGCTCCTACAGCTCTCCCCATTCACGCAGCTTTGGCCTGGGAGTTCCCAGCCTCTAAGCACCTTTGGGGAGCCCAGTCCTTGCTTGCTCTCTCTTTTTTGGATCTTTCCACCGTCCCTAGAAGTCCCACATCCACGGAGTCATTTGACAGAAGTCCAGTGTGGGACATGTGGTACATGGGTTGATGTGGACTTATTTAAGCAGTTATATGACACACAATTCAAACTGAAGCATAATGGTCCAAAGTGAGTTTTTATTTTTACTCTTTCTCCCTGGGACCTTTCCACCTGGCAAAATATTTTGGTATTTGACATCTTCACTCTGATTCTGGATGAAATCAGCGTGAAATGACAGAAAGTCAGTAGCATGTTTTGACCAGCTCTGCGTCAAAGGTTTGGCTTGTTAAAGGGCTGGACAAATGAGAGAACAGACAAAGGTGGGGAGCTGTCCTCCAAGCACTCTATGGGACGGGTCAGGACCATGGTCCTGCTTCATTAGCCACAGCAGCATTGCCTTGGGCTTTTTAGTTCTGCAAATTCTGGCCAGCTACACAATGGACTGGAGAGTCAGCCTAAGAAACCTTCAAAACACTGTTGTAATACCCTAGTGGAGAGGGTACCTGCATGGACATAGCAGCCAAAATAGGGCCTCCGGGTGCAGTCAGGACTCTGATAAAAGTAGTTAATAATGAGTGTTTAAAGCAAGCCTGTGCTGACCACCCATGCACACAGTACATGCTTAGGGCTGAGTTTCTAGCTCTCTGTAACCAGTCTGATATCATTTCCCTTCAGTTTCTTCCCCAACTCTTTGCGGTACCTGGTCCAGCAGCATGTCGATTTACTTCACGCTCTACAGGAGCGAGTCCTGAGCTGGCCACGACAAGGGATCCTGGGAGACATCTTCCTGAAATTAACAAACGATGAGGTATGTTACAGACCTCTCTGGACTCTTCTGCTATGATTCACAATGTTGCGCTGACAGCTTACAAGTGGGCTGAGATACCTTGCAGCAGCGGGGCTGTGCCGTGAAGCTGTGGCTACGGTAAGGCCTTTCAGCCAGCCTCCTTGGAGCAGAGTCCCGGTGCACGGTAACCCCTTCGTCATAGTACTTGGTTGGCCAGGAAGCCCACGTGCCAGACCCACCTGGGCGCATGCAGCCACATAGCACAGCCCTATAATAAATGCACGAGACCTAGACTTGGTGGCAGGAGCCACACATGAGCCTCGACAGCTTGGATGTCTGTATGCACAGTGAGGGTGCGAAAAGAGCGTGTTTCTTACGCTCCTCTTCCCCAATACACTTTGCTCAGAGTTACGACAAATGGGTAGGCAGGCCTCTTATCCTATATGGTTTGTAGCCCCAGGTGAAACAGCACCTCCTTCTCAGCGTGAAGGCCTGCCCAACCCTGGGTGAGCAGTGGGACCTCTCCTGGAAGGATGTGTGAAAACTCATCTGATGCTTTATAAATTTTAAAGAGTCTCAAATAAGAAAAGCCTCTTCCTCCCCAGCCTCTCTACCCCTCCCATCTGCTGTAAAACCTTATATACTGTGCTCAACAGCTGAACACATATTAAACAGTCTGTCTTGAGAAATCCCAAGCCCTGAAAGCTTCACACTGTCAGCAGCTCTGCTGCACTGATGAGCTTTCAGGAGCAACGGTGGGGAATCATCAGTTTCTCGTTCTGTTTCGCTCTATGGTCACAAATCTCTCTTAAGTGTCTTTGTTCTTTTCTTTTTCCTGTTTGTAAGAATAATTTTCTGGACTACTATGTTGCTTACCTGAGGGACCTGCCGGAATGCATCTCTCTGATTCACGTGGTGATCCTGAAGGAGGTAAACTTCCTGGCCCGCTTCACAGACGCATAGTGGCAACACGCAAGCCCGCCTCTCTTCCTGTTATGCCTGCTCATGATAGGACTTTTCTGCCAATCCACTTGTTCCATTACCAAAACACACGTTTCCCCAGACATTGCTGTGGCTGACGCGCACCTACAAAAGGCAGCGTTAACATTTTCATCACTGTGTGTAACTAAAGCTATATTTCTGCTATGACATGAAATAACGTCTCAGATCAAACCTCCCAGAAAGCTTGCCAAGGCACACGCTATCCAGACCTGTCCCAGGCAAACGGGGTTTCCTGGAAAATGGAGAACTTGTCCAAACAGGGAGACCAAGAGTGAGGCTGTAAGTGCTTTAGAGAGAAAACAGTGTCTACTGTTCAGCTTCGGGCATTTGGTCTCACACCCCTGATGTGTGGTTTAAACTAGGAAAGTTAATTATAAAGGTAGTTTTAAAGTGCAATAACTAAACCACGGTAGCTTGCTTCCAAGACATCTTAATTTAGAAGTCAATCTCATTTTGTTCAATTCATTCAGGCCTAAACTAAGAACTTCATTCTGAACAACAGCATCTACCTGGGGTTTCTGTGAAACTTAACTAGTGCAGTTTAAACATGCATCCCTACTTAATTAGGCTGTGTCCCTCCTAGATAGTCCCCAAACTACGGAATTTCATCCTCAGGACTAGTATTGCTGGTGGAAGGAGCTACAAACATCCTTTCCAGAAGGAAGATGAAGACAGGTGTACTGTCACGCACAACTGCCACTTGACTGGCGTGCTCCTGTGAACTGTTATTACTACTTACAGCATAACGACTCATTAAACCCCAGAACCATTTGGAAGCAGACATGTTTTATGGTGGGAGAGACTCTGAAGTTGCTTTCTCTATTTCAGGTAGAAGAAGAAATCAAGTCGGATCTCTACATTTTGTTCTTCCATATAGTCCAGCGAATCCCTGAATACCTTATTCATCTACAGGTAGGGCCCCAGGATGGAAAATGTCTTGTTAAACTCTTATCAAAACACGGGACTTTTAACTCAGAGCTGGTATCCAGGCCTGTACAGGGCTTCTGGCTAACCCAGTGGGCTCTCTGAAAAAACCTTTGAAAGGGAAAGCCAGCTGAGAATGGTTTAATTTTCATCATTTTTGCCCAAAGCTTGCTTTGATTGGCCAGTTCCTCCATTTGGCCTGACAGAACTAACTTTTGTCCCCTGGGAAGTCGAAAGCTCTGCTGCCTGCTGCTCTGGGAGAACAGGAGGCCAGAGATAGGGCACATAGAATGGTTTGGGTTGGAAGGGACCTTTAAGATCATCTAGTTCTAACCCTGGGCAGGGACACCTTCAACTAGAGCAGGGTGATCAAAGCCCCATCCAACCTGGCCTTGAACACTTCCAGGGATGGGGCAGCCACAGCTTCCCCGGGTGACCTGTGCCAGTGCCTCACCATCCTCATATTGAAAAATTTCTTCCTAGTATCTATTCCAAATCTAGCCTCTTTCCATCTACTGTGAGCTCTGACCTAATTCCTGGAACAGAACTGGCCTCCTTGCTGAGTGGTCCACATGCCAGTTAGCCTAGAGGCTCCTAGGGCCCAAAAACCTTTCCTACACAGAGCTTGCTGATAAAAAGAGTTCTGGTTCACAGGAGGGTTATCTGAATTGTCCTAAAAGATTTCAGAGAAGGCAAATAACACAGAAAGCAAGCCCGACAAAAACAAGAGATCGGTTTATTTATGCAATGCTAAACTCAACCAGTGCATCACCCACACATCCCGTGAATACATTTACAGTGGTTACTTGTGTATTTGCACTGGAATAGTAGGAGGTAGGCCCCGTCCAAGTAATTCAGAAACATGTGCTGCCTAGAAGAGCTCCCACCGTGCTCCCCCAGGGCAGTGCTATGGGCACTCCAGAGCACTAATCCACGGTCCAATAGCACCTTCTCCCCAGAGCGCATTAGGACACCCTCCAAACAGCCTGCTCTCCTCTGTGCCCCAGAATGTCCTGAAGTTCACGGAGCAAGAGCATCCTGACTATTACCTGCTGCTGGTGTGTGTGCAGCGCCTCCGGGTTTTCATCTCACACTATAGCCTCCTCTTCCAATGCAATGAAGACCTGCTTATACAGAAGAGGAAAAAGTTGAAGAAGTAAGCACAACATCAGCTCATTCTATCACCAGGGAAAGGGAGGTGTGGGGGAAGCCTGGAAACTGGGGGTTTAGGTCTAGGCAAGACCAACAGGCACATTGCTCTGTTGAAATAAAACAAAGCCCTTTGGCATATGAACGCTGGAGAAAGCCCACTCTTGGCATTTGTCCTCCAAACTGAGGTCAGATTTGGGGCGGGCCCTTCTGTCTAACTCTGAGAGTGAAAGGAAAATCAGTTTAATCCTTCTAAACACAGCAGCCACGTGGTTCACGGGAACATTTGCTTTCATAAGCTGATGGCAAAGTCACTCCCCAGTGGGAGAATACACAGGGACTTAGCTGTTTTGGCAGCTCAGGGCCCTGGTGAATGCCAAGTCTGTTGCCAGAAGCCCTCATAGGCCAAGACTGAGAAAGAATACTGTTATCTTATTTTACTGGGGGAGCAGGGTGGGAGAAACAAAAGCCTGCCATAACCTGTGCGAGATGAACTGTGATAGAAACAACACTGAATGTAGATTCTCAAGTTGTGGTTCAGAAGAGCTCTCTGAAATCGAGAGTTTTTACTAAAACCAAAATCTGGTTGCCTTTGCTCCTTGTGGTGATTCACTGGTGGAGCAGGACAATATCAAACTTGAAGGAAAGCTTTCAAATATGGAGAGTGGTAAAGGGCTGGAGCAGACGGCTGGGGAGGGACTGCTATCAGGAGAGGCATTAAGAACAGGACAGAAAGCAGGACGCCCTGCTGACTGGGACAGACTAGGTGGAACAGGTCCTTCCTTGGGGCGGGAAGAGCTGAATGGGAATATTAAGGTCCCTCCCAGCCCTGTTTTCTGTGATTCTACATGCTCGTGCTCATTCCCTGCCTTATTTCTTAGCACGACGATGGATTTCTCCTCCCTCAGGTCATCCCTGGTCAAGTTGTACAAAGGTCTCACCTCTCAGTGTACAAGCCAAGAGGTTTCTCCAACGCCCAGTGCGGCATCTATCCGTGACAGCGGGATCCACTCTGAAGAGACAATACAGTCATTCCCACCAGCACCTTCCTCTGGCACGACAACCCCGTAAGCCTACTGTCCTAGTAGAAGGCTTTCAAAGTAGGCTGAAAACTGTCTCCTCACCCGTGCTATGCCAGTGACACTAGGCAGTGATCACTGTCATTTCCAAGACTACTCCCTGTGTAGAGAAATGAAGGGCTGGCTCCTTCCTGCTATCCACTACCACGTGGCTTACAAGCAGGAAACATTTCGGAGCTCTACCCAGGGCTGTCAACGCTCTTGCTAGCTGTCTTAACAGTGTACCAGGGAGGACGTTCATTTGTGTAGGCCTGGCAGCGGTACGCGCAGTAACACTCCGCCTTATTCACTGTCAACATTACAAGAGCTAGGAAACACAACCAAGGTCTCAAACTAGCAAAAAAAGTACTTTTCCACACAGCACGTCATCGAGTGATGGGACTCACTATCACAAGATGCAACTACCAACAGGTACAAAAAGACACAAGACTAATGCAAGGAAGTCAGGGCTGCTGGTAGCACCCAGCAAAGTCTTTGGACGTTTCTAGCCTAATGATAGGTGCCAACTGAGATGCCGATCAGAGAAGCACGCTAGACTTGCCTTCTTTCTTATGTCAGCAATTTGTGGCTGCTGTGCTTCCTTTGACGCTAACAAGAAGAGTTTGGCTTCCTTATTCTGAGTCCCCCTCAAGTGGCAGCGTTACTAGATCAATCTCTAGCCTCCTTCTCACCAGACTGCCCAAGCCAATCTCCCTCCCTTTGTAGACGCGATGCGCCAGGCCCCCATCTTGGTAGCCTCAGCTGGCACCTCCCCAGTTTCCTCCCATTCGTCCTGAACTGAGGACCCAACACGGGTCCGGGTGGGGCCTCATCAGCACTGAATGGAACGGGGGAAAATAACTCCCCGAGCTCAGCTGGCCACGCAGCTCCTACCACGGCTCAGGTCATGGTTTGCTGTGTCTGCCACGAGAGCATGCTGTCAGCTCATCTTTACCCTGGCATTGGCTATAACCCCAAGTTCACAGCAGGGCTGCTGCTCAGCCCAGATCTCCCAGCCTGGTCTGATGCATGGGGTTACCTTGCCCCACACGCAGAGCTCTGCACATCTTCAACATCACAAGGTTTCTGTTCCCCCCACTCCATTCATTATGTCCCCAGAAGATGGCAGTGGGACTTTCCTGACTAGTGGTCGTTAAGGGTGGTGGAGCTACACACCCTGCACCTAATGCCTCATCCAATGCCATATTCTGCTGACTTGCCTGGAGCACATGGAGGGTAGGAGCCCTCTAAGTACTCCTGACACACTTCTGGGGACGGAGTCACCCTACCCAAGAGAGGAACCTTGTCTATCTGAAAACACAGTGAGGCCACAGGAAATTAAGACACAGTCCCTACACTACAGAAAGAGAAGAAAAGTAAAAATCCAGCATGCAGATGAACAGAAGGCTGGAGCAGTTGGCTTCTCATCTCAGTTTCTATTCATTTCATGGTATAGAGCACAAAAGTCAGCCAAAGCTACCAGATAAGCAGTGCTATCCCTGCAAGTTTGCTGCTGCTAACCCAGCCAGGCAACTTCAGTTAATGTCAGCTCTGTTGCTGTTCTCCAAGATATGAAAATACTTTTTGACCTTAAAAGCAAGAGAACAGGGCTGGGGGAACGAGTGGGGAGGGAGGCTTGTCTTGCTGTCTCTCGGTCAGCCTTTAGTAGTCCACTTCCTTCTGTTTTTTTTAATTTTGTTTCTTATTTTAAGGCATTTGATGCCCCAGATGAAGAAACCCCAGCCAACCGTGATGGAGAACATCCAGGCTGTAAAGCCCCCTGATTGGGAAATGGAAAGTAGAAAACATGAGAGGCCAGAGAACATCCTTGCATCCTCTCAGCTCACAGAGCAGGAACTCAAGGCTCTGACAGCCCCCTTACAATCCATCCCTGAAATGGAGTATGAAGCACCACCAGCCGACGCAGTGGGAAACCCTGAGAGAGCCATCAGGACCTCTGTGGAGCTGCTGCAGGATGCGAGGAACTTTGCGCCGAGCTATGAAGAGTTTGACTACCCTGGGGAGGTTTTCACCCTGCCAGGCCCCTACGAAGATGATGCCTTCCAAAACCTCGCTCTCTTTGAGAATTGCTCCCCGGCCTCTTCTGAATCCAGCTTAGACATTTGCTTCCTTAGGCCTGTTAACTTCACATCAGAACCAGAGAGGACTGATCATGCCTTACAGCCATTGCCTAAGAGCTGCACTCCTGTAAGCAGCAGTACTTACAAGCGTGAGATGTTCCACAGCAAAGGCAAGCAGCTGAGCAGGTCTCTGAAGGAGCTGCCAAGGAGCGCTGAGGGCGTGAGCACCAGACTCTACAGCACACGGAGCAGCAGTGGGAGCCGGCTGCAGCAGAAGCAGGAGAGGAATGTCCAGCCTCACATGATCTCAGCCTCATCTCGAAGCTCCCAAAGGAGCTACTTCCCCCCTCAGAGAGCAGCGGGTGAAAAACAGAGCTTTTTGGAAGTAAGGAGGCTTAAATAGGAAGAGAAAAAAAAAAAAAAGGCACGTGGTGGTGCAGAAGCAGCGGCAGCAGCAGGAGAAAGATATGAGATACAGTTAGGGCAGAACACACCAAAATAGCTTCCAAGTCCACACATTCAAAGTCCTCATCTGCATGTACATGCCCAAGGGAGGGACAAGACGGCTCCTGTTCACACACACATCTTTCCCAGGGGCAACCATGGAGGCCCCATCCCTGGAAGTGTTCAAGGCCAGGTTGGACGGGACTTGGAGCAACCTGGTTTAGTGGAAGGTGTCCTTGCGCATAGCAGGGGGGTTGGACCTGGATGATCTTTAAGGTCCCTTCCAACCTAAACCATTCTACAATTCTATGGGCTTGAGGCACACAGTTGGCTGAGGGACAGCTAGAACACCCTTGAGTCAAGCTTGCCTCTCACGTGTCTCTAGCTGTCACTGAGCTTCCCCCCCAAATAAATGTTGTATTTGATCAGGGTCGCTAAGTATGCGCAAAGCTGTTCAAAATTAGTGGCACCCAGTTAAAAAGGGGCCTTTCCGCCTGCCGAGGAGTGCTGGGTTACGAAACCAAGGGATTTAGCGTCAGATCCTCAGCCAGTGTAAACCAGCAATGACTTGGCTGAACTCAGCCCGTTTACAGCAGCAGGGATCAACCCCAGATGGTTGATGGGTTTTGTGTTACCTGCGTTTGTTGCACGGATCGTAGAGCCATGCGAAAGTCAGTGTGACAAAAAAAACCCCAAACCAAACACGCCAGAGCCCAGCAACCGTGTCCCTCAGACAACCGCTGTCATGGCAGGCAGCACTCTAGCCCTGCAGGGACACCAGGTCTGGCAGGAACAACATTTCTGTAGGCTGCAGTGCCTGTTCAGAGTCATCTTTGAGCTGTCACAGTCCGGGGGGGGAAGATGCTCTTCACACTTCCTGGGGATGAGGTCGAGGGTGCTGCGAGGTGCTTCGCTAGTTCGCTCAGTGCTGCCTGGAGAAACACCCTCCTCTTAAAATGAGGCAAGATGCAGATGAGGCTGTAGATGCAGATGACGACGGGAGGAAGGTTCCGATAGCCTGACTGAAAAGGCAGCAAGGAAACCTTGAAAGAAAAGAGAAAAAAGCTGAGTGAGTGAAGGAGGTGGTGGACGGCTGAGCAGGGGAGATGAGGCAGAGGGAGAAGAGCCATGGGGACACAGCCGCCCCTGGAACAGGAGCCTGTGAGCTCTTTGGCACTCGCCTGCACAGAGCTATGGCCCACAGCAGGGGTGCAGATGTGGAGCTAGTCCAGAACCGCAGGACACCTTCACCCCACAGAGCAAAGGAGACCACCGTGGCAGCGGTGGGCAGAACTGGAGAAAAGGGCCTTGTCCAGAGCCTCACTGAGAGGCACTCAGCGCTCTCCTGAAAGGGGGAGAGATCTTTTAGTGGCACATTTACCACAAGGGGTGTGCGTGCTAACGAAGCCTTCTGCCCCACAGATAATAAAACCAGGCAGCAGCAGAGCCAACAGAAGAGTCTTTCACACCGTATCAGCTCAAGAAGCCCGAAGCCTCCCTGCCCTGCTGTAGGGTAAACAGAGCTCACGAGCAAGGAGAGGGTGGGAAGTTCCTTCAACTCCCCATGCTGGCTTGCTCCCTCGTTGGCAAAAGGGGCTAGTAAGCTCCCCCTAAACAAAAAGCTTAGCAAGGAAAGCTCCAGTTCCCTCTAACAACGCTTATCCCTCCACTCCTCTGCCACTGCCTCAGAGCTATCAACAAGCTCTCTGCAGAGGTACCGGTGCTGCCGAGTCCTGGGTGACCTGTCATCTCCCAGCCTTGCCAGCACCTCCTCAGCCACCAGGTCCTTCCTAGCACAGAGAGAGAGAGAGAAGGGGACAAGGATGTGAGGTTGCAAATGCTGGTTAAATTGTCTTTTCCCTTTTAGGAGCTCCATGCAGAAGACAACACCAGGTTCTGCCAGAAGGATGACAATGAGCAAACATCCTTCAGCGACCACAACCCACGGCACGAGCCCAAGGGGGGTTTCCGGAGCTCCTTCCGCAAGCTCTTCAAAAAGAAATAAGCAGCCCCAAGAAAGGCAGGCCACAGCCTAAGCGCGACAGTGCTTCCCCAGGTCCCTGAGGGTGGAGACAGACAGCGGGGCCCCAAGATCCCCCCTGACTAACACAGTAGGTGGAGGGGTGGGGGAGAGGAGACTGTCACAACTGCCTTACAAATGCATCCTGCTCTTCCTAGCACAGGGCAGGGCCAGGCTATGGGTTGAGGTGGAGCTCAGCCAGGTCCAAATAAGCACAGGAACTTGCTAGCTTTCACACCCCTGCCTGACTTTAACTTTTCTCAGAGTTTCGGAAAGCTTTGGCCGAACCCCACTATCTTCTCCTCCCCCTCATCCCCCAACGCTGTTTGATTTGCCATACATCTTTGCTCTTCCAAATTCAAGCCAGGTCTAATTTGGGCTCACCCACAACAGAAGGGTTACCTTTGCAGACTCGGCATCCTGGTCTGAAGTTCCCCTCTTTCCTGCACTTTCCAAAGAAAAATCACCATCAAAGATGTCTTCCAGGAGGCCAGCTCGCATTACCCTGCTGGTTTTGCTGAAGCACCTGGGCTTTGTACTGCTTCATCAGCAGCATCCTTTCTTTTGGACTTCCATCACTCCCCAAAATTCTCCTTCACCTTTTACGTGGCGCGCCGCCTCTTGAATTGCCTCCTGCTGCGCGAATCTCTTTTCCTGCTGTCGGGATTGCCTGTGTCTCCAGGCAGGTGGTGCAGGCTTAGCCCAGGGCCTGCCACAAGAGACAGAGACCCTTCTCCACCCTATCCCCGCTGTGGATTGATGCAGACACTGACACAGTCAACTAGTCAGCCAGCTCCTGGTCTGTAATACACCCGAAATACTCTTTGCTAACTCTCTTCAGCCTGACACCGCCTTACGAGCCTCATCATGTGCAGCACCCTGCTTTGGAGCAGTTCTTCCACCTAAAATTGAGGCACTAGGGCAGGAAAGTTGACAGTGCCCCATGTTCAAAGTCACAAGCCCACCTTCTTGTGCAAGGATAGTCCTCCTCCCACAACAAGGCTGCACGCCGTCGTCCTCACATCTTGACATGAGAAACCTTCAGTAACGCTGTTCTCTGCAGAAGGCTATAGCTTTTGTTAAAAAGAAAGTGTGGAGAGAAACACAGTGCTCTGGTGTGATAACCACATCAAACCCCAGCAACAGGAACACCACTGGCATGGGGCTGTGGTGCTGGCTGAAACTGGGACATGCTGAGGGCAGTTTCAAGAGGAAATGTGGTCTTATCACCTGTTTTAGCAGGGTTGGGACACTGGTCTCTCATAAAGGAACAGCTTCACCTGAACAGGTTGTGAACTGCCCCCGGGGGGACCAACAGCAATGTCTTGGGTGAAATAACGCAAGGCTGTGAGGTGAGGGGCTTGGGGTTCCACCACCATTGCAAGGGTGGCTGAATCTGGTGCCAAGAGAAGAGCGCCCATGGTGCTGCATGGCTCTCCCAGCAGCGGCAACGGCACAGGACAGGCCTAGAGCAGGCGTCCTTGGCTGTGGTGGCTAACACCCTCTGCTGAGGCAGGGCCTACAGCTCTCCCATCACGTTGACCAACCCTCATATACCATCTGCTTTTCCTCCTCTGGTGGAGGCGAAGGGGTGTGTGTGAAAAGGGTTATCCACCCACCTAAGACAGACAAAATCCATCCTTTATCTCAAAGTTTGCCCAACATTTCAAGAAAGTGACTGAGCAAAATGCCAGAGATTAAAATGTTTCAGCCGATGCCTGCCCCATAGATTTCACTGGACCCAAAAATCCACTACTGCTCCTTACAATGAGGGAAAAATATCATCCACCCCCTCGCCCCCCCCCCCTTTTGGAAACTATTCTGGGAAGATTCTTTTTAATCTAAGGTTTTTAATGACAAAAAAACCCTTCTGTCTCTTTCCTCTCCCTCACACCCTCATTAAATTACAAATTCCCTGGCCCTTCCCAGTCAGGGCTGCTCCACGCTGACCAGCCACTGCATCACAAAGACACTTCACAAGACTTCACAGACAGTGCAGAGCCAGGATGGAGATCCGTATGAAGAGCCAGACACTTGGAACTGAAGCATCTGCAAAGCCTGTTTGTTCTGCAAAGGAATCGGCCATAGACCGACCTATTTGTTTGTCCACGGAACCAGAGTTATATCAATATGGACAAGTTTCCGCTGTAATGCACCGATGCTGTCAAGGGCTCTGATGCTGGTGTCTTTGGTCTCATATAACATGACACTTCTGTCCTTCATAGAACAAACTCGCTCCTCACACCTGCCAGGCAGATGCCAGGACAGAAACAGGACGAGGGGGAAAACCAACCTGCCAACATCTGCTGGGTAAGGAAACCTTTCCAGGGTGGCAAACGCTCGCTTGTAAAATGCACATGGATTTTAGCTTCTGTTTTAGTGATTTAAGGCATGGTCAGAACTGATGGTTATTTCTTTCTGATCCTGTATGAGTTCTTACTTTCAGGCCTATGCTTATCATTTGAGATGTCCTTGTACCTGCTCAGAATCGGCAGATGTAAATAAAAAGAATGAATGATGCTCAGCACCATACAGAAACACACAAACTCTTGCAGGATCTGATCCAATTTCACTTTTAGTGTACATGTGTGCTCCGCATTATTTTTCTTTCTGTGCCAAATAAACGTTGCTTTTAAATAACACTGTTGTCTCCTTCGACTGAATCAGCCGTAAGGGTGCATCCATTAAAAGCAGAAACACGTTTCTCAGGTCCGTTTCTGAGGCAGCACTACCAACAAAACCCTGTTCCCCTGCACACACAGGCAGGTGAGAAGACTGCTTCCACACACCTGGTTCCGAGACTCTTCCTCAGCACTCCATGACTCACTCTCGAGGCTTCTGGTCAAGATCCTGGTGTTGGTGCAGCTCACTGTGACATTTCTTCAGCTCCTTCCTCCATCCCCTTTACTCCTGCTGCTGCTTCTGTTGCAGACACATGAGCTTTCACAAAAAAACCCCCAACCGATGAGCCTCCCCCACTGACACACACACCACTGGAATTTCAACTATCCAGCTCTGTAAGATATCTTAATATCTTCCTGTATATCACAAACATCTGTCTCATACCAATTTTTTGAAAAAATGTAATTCCAGTTCTATCAACACCATCTTACCTTTGTGACATTCTCAGCAGGTCCAAAACAAGGACATCACAAACAGGGACAACTCAGCCTGTGGTGCTCACACCTCCCCATGCCACGCAGCACCGGCAAGCCTGTGCCGCGTTCCTCCTGCTGCTCTGTAGCTCCCTGCGGCATTGTGTCACTTGAGGACAGTGGTCTTGGAGATTATTCCAGCAGAGTTTTGAATCAACAGCCCAAACGGAGTTTTACTCCTGTGCAAATCTACTGGGGTGTTTCCTCCTCAAATCCCTTTCAATCATAAGGATGCAGAAGATGCCCAGCAGCTAGCTGCTGGGGCACTGCCAGCACCCAAGACGGCCCTGGACAGGACACGCTCTCATCGTGGCTGGGACTCTTCTACATCACCTCTCCACAGCTACGCTCCCTGCTCAAGTCAGCCACCTTAGACCCTCCTCTGATTACGGGTAACTTTCACTTTCAGTGCTGGTCAAACATACCCTCTCACCACTCCATTCCTCTAAGCCAGCATAACGGAGACTACTGCAGGGTTTCTATAACTTAAGCGCTTTCTCCTACTTTTTTTTTCCCCAGAATTGCAGTGCATCCCGGCTTCCTCTACATGTTCTTGGAGTATTTCACCTCAGTACAAGTCATGTACATGTACAAGTACAAATATTCCTCAGTAAGGGTAAAATCCCTGTCCTGCTTTGAGTGACACAGGACTAATTTCTCTTTCAGTAATTTTACTTTTCACAGAATCTCCTATGTTGGAAAAGACCTGTAAGATCATCCAGTCCAATCATTGACCTAACACTGACAAGCCCACCACTACACCATGTCCCTGAGTGCTGTATCTACACAACCCTTAAATCCCTCCAGGGATGGGGACTCCACCACTGCCCTGGGTAACGCCTGCCAATGCCTGATGACCCTCTCGGTAAAGAAAATCTTCCTAATATCCACTCTAAACTTCCCTTGGTGCAACTTGAAGCCATTTCCTCTTGTTCTATCACCTGTTACTCGACAGCACAGGTTGACTCCCACCTCTCTGCAACCTCCTTTCAGGTAGTTGGGGAGAGCGAGAAGGTCTCCCCTCAGCCTCCTCTTCTCCAGGCTGAACACCCCCAGTTCCCTCAGCCGCTCCTCACCAGACTTGTTCTCCAGACCCCTCACCAGCTCCATTGCCCTTCTCTGGACACGCTCCAGTGCCTCAATGTCCTTCTTGTCGTGAGGGGCCCAAAACTGAACACAGCACTTGAGGTGGGGCCTCACCAGTGCCGAGTACAGGGGTAAAATCACCTCCCTGGTCCTGCTGGCCACACTATTCCTGATACAGGCCAGGGTGCCGTTGGCCTTCTTGGCCACCTGGGCACACTGCTGGCTTATGTTCAGCCGGCTATCAGTCAACACCCCCAGGTCCCTCTCTGCTGAGCAGCTTTCCAGCCACTCCTCCCCAAGCCTGTAGCCTTGGCAGGGGTCGTTGTGGCCAAAGTGTAAGACCCAGCATGTGGCCTTAGTGAAACTCCCACAGTTTGCCGTGGCCCATTGATCTCCTCTGTCTAAATCCCTCTGCAGAGCCATCCTACCCTCAAGCAGATCAACACTCCCACCCAGCTTGGTGTCCTCTGCAAACTGACTGAGGTACAGTGATGGCTACTGTATCACAGTTTTCCTGGTGCATCATGGCTTCTCGCTCCTCCTGTTTGTTGCCCACGCTACATGCATCAGCGTAGATGCACTTCACTTGGGCTAACGTGCCCAACGCTTCTTTGTGGGTGGAAGCCCTTGTTCCTACCTGACTGCTCTCAAGTTTTTCCATGGCTTCTAACCCATCAATAACCCTTCCGTCTTGAGCGCCCTGTGTATCTCCAGCCCCTACCTCCACTGAAACAGAATAACGAGGGTCCTCG